ACTGTTATTACCACCAACTAAAACAGAAACTTTGTCTCTCATACTTTGGACATATTGTCAGGAAGGAGCTGGAGAAGGATATCATGTTTGGTAAGGTGGAGGGACAGAGAAAAAGAGGAAGACCCCCAACGAGGTGGATTGGCACAGTGGCAGCATCAATGGACTGAAGCACGGCAACAGTAGTGAGGTTGGCCCAGGATCCGGCAGTGTTTCGTTCTGCTGTGCATAGGGTCGTTATGGGTCCGTACTGACTCGATGGCACCTAACAACAACAAAACAGTAAATAGATCTCTCTGAGTGGGGCGAATGATTAGACTAGTAGCTGAAAGGTTGGCAGCTGGAACCCACCCAGAGGCACTTCAGAAGAAAGGTCTGACTATCTTTCAAAACCATACACGTAGTTACTATGAGTTAGAATCAACTTGATGGCAACAACAACAGCAATAAAAGCAGAAAATATAGCAGTAGGAATAGGTTTGGAAAGGAAAAGAAACTGAATTTAAGATATGTTAAATTTGAGATGCCCGTGGGATATAGAGTTGAGAAAGATCATGCAAGGAGTCGGACATGACATGGATGAGAGATCAGGAACACATTATCAAGAGTTAAACTGAGAATGGATAAGACCAGTCAGAAAAGGTGGCACATGTCAAGAACAAGTTCAAGAGCAAATCATATCCTATGTTGGAGAGACAAAGATAAAAGAGGTACACAGTATTTTGAAAGCCAAAGGAATCGAGTTCTGATTGAAAAGTCATTCCCTTGGCCAAGTTTTAAACTAATCTAAAAATGTTTATCAGTCCATATCATATTTAAAACTCCAGGAAAAGAGACTATATAATTCCTATGCATGAATCTATTTCAAATAACTACCTTATAATCTCTTGTCTATGTGAAGCAGTCTCTGTTATTCTGTTTTCTAAGGTAATTGAACATAGTCATTCACCATTATTCCTGCTATCAATTTCATATGTTTTATCTAGAGCTTTTCTTTCTTATTTTCTTTAAACCACTTACTTCAGTCTTTTCAGTTTTTCGTCAGTTTCCTCCCCACTTTTTGTTTGCTGTTCTGGGAATTTTGCCTGGTTCTCTACATTTTCTTTCCTGACTAGGACCTAACAACTAAAATACACTGAGGACCTGATAGATGCTAAGTGTATTATCTTTATGCAACTCAGCATTGTTATTGTTATTACGTGCTGTTGAGTCGGTTCTGACACATAGCGACCCTGTATAGGGTTTCTGAGGAGCCGCTGGTGAGCTTGTAGTTCAAACAACTTTGCAGTCCAGTGTATTAACCCACAATGCCATCTCAGCATTACGCTGCTTTTACATCACAGAATCTCCTGTATACCTCATTTTTATTGTGCAATTCACAGCTTGGTTTCACATAACCAAGTCTGCCTCAACTTCTATTATGAGAATTATACAATCTTATCAAAGCTGTACATGGATCAAAAGACAGTTGTTTGAACAGAACATGGGAACACTGAATGGTTTTAAATTAAGAAAGGTATGCGACATTGTTATATTCTTTCACCATACTTATTCAACCTGTATGCTGAGCAAATCATCCGAGAAAGCTGGGTTATATGAAGAAAAACGTGGCATCAGGATTGGAGGAAGACTCATTAACAACCTGCGATATGTCGATGATACACCCTTGCTTGCTGAAAGTGAAGAGGACTTAAAACATTTACTGATGAAGACCAAAGAGCACAGCCTTCGGTATGGATTACATCTGAATGTCAAAATAACAAAAATCCTCACCACTGGACCAATAAACAAACATTCTTATCAACAGAGAAAAGATTGAAGTTGTCAAGGATTTCATTCTTCTTGGATCAACTATCAACACTCATGGAAGCAGCAGTCAAGAAATCAAACAACGTATTTAATTAGGCAAATCTGCTGCTGCACAAGACCTTTTTAAAGTGTTGAAGAGCAAAGATGTCAGCTTGAGGACTAAGGTGCGCCTGACCCAAGCCATGGTATTTTCAATAACCTCATATGCATGTGAAAACTGGACAGTAAATAAGGAAGACCATAGAAAGAATTGATGCTTTTGAGTTATGGTGTTGAAGGAGAATATTGAAAGTGCCATGGGCTGCCAAAAGAACTAATAGATCTGTTTTGGAGGAGGTGCAGCCAGAGTGCTCCTTGGAGGCCAGGATGGCCAAGCTTCGTCTCTCATACTTTGGACATATTGTCAGGAGGGACTAGTTGCTGGAGAAGGATATCATGTTTGGTAAGGTGGAGGGTCAGAGAAAAAGAAGAAGAGCCCCCCAATTAGATGGATTGTCCAAGTGACAGCATCGATGGACTCAAGTGTGGCAACAATAGTGAGGTTGGCCCAGGGTTGGGCAGTGTTTCGTTCTGTTGTGCATAAGGTCACTATGAGTCGGTACTGACTCAATGGCACCTAACAACAACAACATCAAAGCATTAGAACTGGGAGAAAAAAAACTAGGGCTCATTTACTCCATTTTGCCACATACTTAAGACATCTTCCACTGTACCACTCAAGTTCAAACAAATCAAGATAATGCTTTTCCTTTACTGGACTTTTATTTTATTTTAATCAACTAATACATTGTATTCAACTGTGTGGATCATGAAAAATTTGGATAACATTGTAAAGAATGGGAATTCCAGAACACTTAATTCCACTCACATGGAATGTGTACATAGTCCTAGATGCAGTAGTTCAAGCAGAACATGGGGATACTTCATGTTTTAAAATCAGGAAAGCTGTGCACGATACTAAGATGTGTGCATTTCACAATGCTAATTCAACCTACAGACTGGGCAAATGATCTGAGAGGCTGGACTGTATGAAGAAGAACATGACGTCAGCATTGTAGGAAAAGTTATTAACAATCTATGATATGCAGATGACACAATCTTGCTTGCTAAAAGCATAGGGCACATGAAGCATTTACTGATGAAGAGCAAAGAATGCAGCCTTTAATATGGATTATATCTCAAGAGAGGAAAAAATAACAACAATCCCCAAAACTGGATAAATAAGTATATCATGTTAAACAGAGAAAAGATTGAAATTGCCAAGGATCTCATTTTACTCTGATCCAAAATAAATGCCTATGGAAGCAGTGATTAAGAAATCAAAGGACATATTGCACTGTGCAAATCTGCTGAGAACGATCTCTTTACTGTGTTGAAGAGCAAAGATGTCACTTTGATGACTAAGGTGAGCCTGATCTAAGTCCTGTAATTTTCAATTGCCTTATGGGTGTTTAAAAGCTGGACAATGAACAAGGAAGACTGGGAAAGAAATGATCCATTTGTATTATGGCATTGGCAAAGAATATTGAATATACCATGGACTGCTAGAAGAATTAACAAATCCTTCTTGAAAGACTTACAGCCAGAATATTCTTTAGAAGCAAGAATGGTGAGACTTCTCATATACTTTGGACATGTTATAAGGAATGACCGGTTCCTGAAGAAGGACATTGTTCTTGGTAAAGTAGATGGTCAGCAAAAAAGAGGAAGCCCTTCAATGAGATGGATTGACACAGTGGCAACAACTATGGGCTCGAACACAACAATGATTGTGAGACTGGCACAAAGCTGAGCAAGACTTCCCTCTGCTGTACATAGGGTCACTCTAAGTTTGAAGTGGCTTGGCAGTATCTGACAACGATACATCATAAAATCAAAATGGTGCATCATAACTATTTTTTTTTAAATAACAGAGTGGAATTAGACAGGAGAGACTAAACTAAGATAAATACATCCTAGTTGGATGAAATATCTGAGTGCATTCAAGGATAAAAATAAAATTTCATAAAACTTCTTTTTCAGTTGGGGGAGTATTCAATGGTCATGATGTAAAAAGTATTTCTTACTGTAAGTTATATTCCAAAATTTTCTACACTGCCCTATAGAATTCTTCCCAACCTTAGCAAAGTAAAGTTTCTTATTTATTACTTCATCAAGCTTAGCTTTCATCTAAATCAGATGTTTCAAAATCTTAGGATCCCTCCAGCTCACTCTTATCTGTTTTTCAATTAATCTTCTCATTTCAACAGTATAGCATTTGATCTAGTAACATATTTGTTGTTTGTTTTTAAGTGCCGTTGGACTCATTGAGTCCTGACCTGGCAGTTTAAAGCGACCTACAAGTCCAGTGCATGATCCTACAGCACCACACCAGGACTCCTATAGTAACATGCTGTTGTCGTTAAGCATTGTCAAGTCTGTTCCAACTCATAGTGACCCTGTATAGGGTTTCCGAGGAGCATCTGGCAGGTTTGAACTATCAACCCAGTGGTTCGAAGTCCAGTGTGATCCTACAATGCCACACAGTAAAGAAATTGTGTGTAGGCAGAATGCCTCCTAACAAAGTCAGTAGACTTTCATTAAAGAGTTCATTCTCTCCCCACCCTCACCCCCAACCCCACCTTCACACCTCTTACCCTCTCTGAAAACATCATTTGATCTTCTGGCAACCTGGACTGAGAGCTAGCTGTTGCTGCTACAGCTTTGTATGATATATGCCTTTATCAACAACTCTGTTATGTTGAGTCTTGGTGTGGTGCTGTAGGATAAGCAATGGACTTGGAACTAGAAGATCGGCGGTTCAAAACCACCAGTTGCTCCTTGGAAACCCTATGTTATTGCTATTGTTGTTAAGTGCCTTCAAGTCAGTTCTGACTCATAGTGACTCTGTATATGGCTTCTGAGGAGTGGCTGGTGAATTTGAACCGCCAACCTTGCAGTTTAAAACTACCTTGTGGTCCATTGCATTATCCCACAATGCCACACTAAGACTCCTGGAAATCCCTATATATGATCTTTATGTACCGCTAAGTATTGACTCAACAGTACTTAACAACATTATGCCAAGGCATAGTTCTTTCTTGTAAATCAAAAAGCCCAAGTTCCAGACTACTGAAAGAAATAGCTCCCCTCCTCTCAAATCTTTCTTTCAAATGAAACTCACTGAGGCTTTCCTGCTTTTGTTGCTTTGCTAGCTTTTTACCTTTGGATGGAGAGAAGATGTTCGACCTGGTGAGCCACTGCACACTCGAAAATTTTGCTTTGATGCTATCTCACACAGCAGCCCAGTGACGCTTTATGATTGCCACGGTATGAAGGGGAACCAGCTCTGGGGATACCGCAAGGTGAGAGGCAGTTCTTTAAAGTCATTCTCAAACTGCTGAAATTAGGTGTTTTAACCCAAGATTTAAAACAACAATGAAAAACACTGTTTTGTTTGATGTAGAGTGTTTCCTGAACATACGCACATGTTTGACTCCCACATTTAGATATTACCAGAAAAATTGTTGTTGTTAAGTGTCGTCGAGTCAGTTCTGACCCATAGCGACACTGTATAGAGTTTCCAAGGAAAGGCTGGTGAGCTTGAACACCACCAACCTTGTGGTTCAAACAGCTTTGCAGTCCAGCACATTAGCCCACAGCACCACACCAGAAAAGATTAGGGTAAAGAAATTGTGTTGGCAGGGGGCATATGACTGAAACACATTCTCTTTATACATACATCCATAACATTGTGACTGAAAAATTACTCTGAGTCAGAACACTAACATTACAAAGAAAGTAACTAACCTTAACCCAGACAATTCCCAAGCAGAGGGACCAAGCTATTTAAGAAATAAATATATACATATATATTTTAAGAACCCTAGTTCTCTCCCTTCATTCCTCACACACACATACAAACACCCAGACACTTTTATTAATTTATTGTGTATCTCAGGTTCAGCCGCTTGGGAGTTGTCTTGTTTAAGACAATTACATTTGCACAAATATTTATACATCTATGTAGTCCTGGGGTGGTGCTGTGAGTTAATACGCTGGACTGCAAAGTCGGTTTGAACTGCAAGGTTGATGGTTCAAGCAGCACTTAACAACAACAACATATAGCCATGGGCTCAAGTATAAGAACAATTGTGAGACTGGCAGTATTTCATTCTGTTGTGTACAGGGTCGCTAAGTGTCGGAATAGACTCAACGGCACCTAACAACAACAACAACATGATGATATTATTATTGCAACCCGCATACAGAAACTTTATCCTAAACCTAAGTAAGAGAAGGAAAACTTATTTGGGAAACTTGAAAGTTTTAAGACCTTTAAAATAAGCAATGATTTAAGGAAAATAGTTAAATATATATAATCACATTTTACTGAGTAAATAAACTAAATAGCAATTACATTACTGTTTTAAAGTATTTTCATTGTAGTTTTCTTTGGTAACTGTGGGATTCTATATAAACTTGGGTGTTTTGTTTGCTTGTTCAGCTTCTTTACTTTTTTAAGGCAAGAGTTAGCTGTCACTTAGCAAGTACTCCGTAAGTGGTCCTGTGTGGCACTGTAGGATAAGCACTGGAATGCAAGGTCGGTTTGAACTGCAAGGTTGGTGGTTCAAACTCACCAGCCACACTTCGGAAACCCTGTACAGGGTAGCTATGAGTCAGAACAGACTCGACAGCACTTAACAACAACAACCAGAGCAGTACCCATCAAGCCTCCAGAACTGCTGGGGACCTTTCCAGCCAGGTGGAAGGTGTTAATTGTGTGTGCCTTTTCATATTCTCACAAAATTCCACTATTTTAACCATGAGCTTGATTATCCCACGGGTGAGGCTGAAATTATGAAAGCAGAAGACTAGATGCTGCAGATCATCGGTATAGGGGCCACTAGCCATGGTATCTTTTCCGTCACTTAATAAGCTTCTTATCCCCACCACCTAGAGTTGGGTACCTAAAACTATACTCAAAGTCAGATTTATTTGTTCAAGTCTATTCTGCATACCCTGACCCCCAGCATCTGGTGGAATGTGGTTATGTGTCCATAAAAAGTAAGCCAACGGTTTTATCCTTCCACAAAACAATTTTAAAATCAAAAGAGATAATGCAAAGATAACATCAGATATAACAAGGAATAGGACTAGACTGCAATAGGAAAACCCTACTGCTTTGCTTAATCCTGGCAAAACTTCTTGTAGTCTGTGTGTGGGGCAATAAGGTTGTTGTTGTTTTAATGGTTAATTTCTGACCTTTAAGATGTTATTTTCTGGGCACATCAATAAAATGCCTGCGCTGCCATTTGCCTAGTTTGCTGGTGGTCCCTAATGAGCAGACCATTTCTCATTACTGTACATTTATAGCATGTGAGACAGAACACTCAATAATGTGCAATTAAGCCAAGAAAATACAGTTGTTTTCATTAGGGAACTTACAAAAGCTTACAAATGGATAAGACCAACCAATACACATGCACATAGAGCTCCTGGGAAGAAAAAAAACAGGTTGCAGTGGTTTCCAGAGGTAACTCTTACAAGCTATAACACTTCTGGCATCCTAACCTTCCTGGCATCCTAAGGGACTTGGGAAAGGGAACCACTAGCTGCAATTGTGTTGTGGCTCTTTCCTCAGATCTTTCTGTAGCTATTAGCTTTGCATTACTTAGCTAAAGGTTACACTCACTGTGTATTTATATAACAAGCAAAGTATTTATACTTAATCAGGAACATGCCAAAGGCTCAAAATGGCAAGTTTCTGAAATATCTCATCTTGGTTGATGACTCAGACCTGTTTAAATATACCTGCTTTGGAAAGCAACCCTTGTTTTTTTCAAGGTATAAAAAGAAGATGCCAAAAGAAAGAAATCTCTCTGTGGTGCTACCTTATTTAGATGCACTTATCTGTTTAGGTGCACTACTTGGCCCTGGGGCTTCCAATGGCTTAGCAATTTTTCAAGTGTGTTTTGGAGCTCCCCCTTTTTAATTAGCATATTTATGAGTTTGGTGGGATCTGTTAAGACTTTACTAATTGCCTAAAGGGCTGCAGTGGGGTGGGCCACCTCCTAAGCACCACACTTACCAGGTAATGATATCATCATCACCTCCAACTATTAAGGAAGAATTGAGGTTTATAAAACTCATAATTACATAAGTACTAGTATGTATATTTTCAAAAAAAAAAAAAACTGATACTGGCAGATTTGTAGCAGAGCCAACATTCAAACTTGATTATATCTGCCTTGAAAGTCTTTACTCCTTCCCTTGCCACAATCTTCAGAAATCAGATAGACATTCCCTGAGAGAATGACCCCAATTCCTGGGAGACCCAATGACATGGGTAGACATGGGTATCACCAACACTGCTCCTAGATAGATACATGAGATTTCTTGGAGAGAGAAACTGGTCTGAAGTTACCTTACTCAAATAGGCAAAGGTTGATTCAGGCCCTAATTTCTGACCCAACTTAGTCCTCAGCAGCCATCAGCTCTCATCTATTTTTGGACCTGGCTCTTTGCCATCATACACACAAAAAGAAAGGAAGCTCTATTCTATGGTCCTCTTTATGTACAGTTGCAGTACACTCTACAATAGGAGATGCCCCAATGAGGAATCCCGGCGTTGGTTTACTTTTACCACCAGGAGGAGCCCTGTTACCAGGAGAGTGATTAGTGGAAGCCACCTCGATAAAACTATCACCCAATATCCCCTCAAAATATGTAAGTTTTTCCTTTCTTCTTTAACCACCACGTGTAACTGGCATCAAGAATTTCCAGCCCTCCCCACCACAACCAATATTTGTAAAATCCATTCCTTCCTTTTCATTTCTATAACCTTTTGCTAGTTGAAGTACTTCCATCTAATCCATGAAATACTGCACCTGCTTACTTCATAAATGGAGTCCTAATGTGGCGAACTCTGGTAGCGTAGTGGTTACGAATCGGGTTGCGAACCTTAAGGTCAGCCTGTACAGGGTCGCTATGGGTCGGACCCGACTCGATGGCACTTAACAACAACAACAACAACAACAACAACAACAATGTGGCGCTGTAAGGAGCTCTGGTAGCGTAGTGGTTACAAATCGGGCTTTGAACCGCAAGGTCAGCAGTTCGAAACTACCAGCGATGTTCCGCGGGAGAAAGATGAGGCTTTCTGCTCCCATAAAGATATACAGCATCGGAAACCCTGTACAGGGTCGCTATGAGTCGGAACCGACTCCACGGCACAAAACAACAACAATGCGGCGCTGTGGGTTAATGCCCCAGACTGCAAAGCCGTTTGAACTGCAAGGTCAGCGGTTCAAGCTCACCAGCTGCTCCTTGGAAACCGTATACAGAGCCGCTATGGGTCGGAACTGACTCGATAGTACTTCCCAACAACTTCATAAATATCCTTTCCCTTTCCCACCCACATGCATCCTAAAATCTAAGGAAGTGTTCTACAATATTTGGTCACTGCATTCTTCTGTTTTAAAACTTCGTTTAGTATTATATTAAGTAGAAAATGCAGTGCCTTCAGTTCCCAATTCACAACTTGATTCTTCACCATCATCAGCTCACACTCCCCTCCAGACTATTTAATTTGTCAGACCTGTTGCTGTGTGTCATCAAGTCAATTCTGACTCAGTGACCTTATATGACAAAATAGAACTGCCCCAGAGAGTTTCCTGGGCTTATCATTATGGGAACCAATGTTCAGGACTTTTCTCTCACAGAGCAGCTGGTGGGTTCAAACCAATGACTTTATTGTTAGCAGTGAAATGGGTAGCCATTGTGCCACCAGGGCTCCTTAGTTATACCCAATATCTCCAAATTCATCATGAAACTGTGATGTGATATTTCATAAGCTATTTAGCACCTGTGGCATTGTTTCCTCACTAGTAGAACTTGGATAATAAATAAGTCATATAACGCTTCTAACACAGTTTCTGACCATATGATCAAATTTCCATCTTTCCCTGGATAGCATAAATGGAAAAGGGCTTGACTGCTATTTGAAAGGTTGGTGATTCCAACCCTGCCAGAGACACCTCAGTTAACAGGACTGACAATCTGTTTCTGAAAGTTTGCAGTCTTAAAACCCTAGGGAACAGTTCTCCTCTACAGATCACCATGAATCAGAATTGAATGGATGGCAACTAACAACAGGTGTCAAGTGTACTTTTTTATATTGGTGATGTTGTAGTTGTTGTTGTTGCTATGTGCCATGGAGTCAGTTTCAACTCATAGCGACCCTGTACAGGGTTTCCGAGGCTGTAAATCTTTACAGGAGCAGCAAGCTTCATCTTTCTCCCAAGGAACAGCTGGTACTTTTGAACTGCTGACCCTGAGATTAGCAGCCCGATTCGTAACCACT